TGTTATAAAAACAAATTAAGCATATTTTAGTATAAATTAGTAATGAAAATCTCGATATATATAATAGATAGGAATATAAGGATAATGCTGATATGTTAAAGAATGGAGGAAGATAATGATGAGCGTCGAGTGCGTTTCATCATTTCCATTACTAGCTAGCTAGCTACCTAAAGCTAGTTATTTGATAGAAAGAGATCGATCAAAGTCTCAAAGACATTTTTTAAAAGGAAATACTAGTGAGATTAAAAATTTTAAATTAAATTTACAAATAAAATGATATGGTTGTTGATGATTGGATTATTATGTAAACGTTGATTAACTTGTTTATTTCTTATCGTTGATACATCATTTGATTTACAAATTTGAGTTAAAATTTTGATTTCTCTATCATAGGAAGATTTGTTTTGTTATAAACCAAACCCTAAAAAAGTTAACTTTCGTGGTGTGTGTTGGGTACGTATGTGCATGCGCGCGCATGCTAGAGAGAGATCTAGAGAGAGAGAGAATCTTTCCTTGATATCCAAACAAATGCGTGGCAGAATTGCTTTGCAATAGAGTTGCTGCAGCAATTAGAAGATTTCTTACCGGCTGTGACTTGAACAAATAATAACTAGGTTAGCTAGGAGGTAATTCAATATTACCAGGAAAACAAGCCCCAGTGCTCCAAAATCAATGTATTCACTTTCTAGGCTAGAAATTGATGTATGTGTGCATGAATAATAGGTGTCATTAGACAGTCTTGCATAGTTTAAAGAGAGATTTTTTATGTCATCGGCTATACATAATCACGTTTATATTTCTCAATACAATTATGTGCATGTCTCTTTCATCACGTCGTTATTAAATAGTTTAGTCGACTCCAATAAAATATTTTTGAATGTCATCGATTGTATACAATTATGCGCCGATCTCTCTCAATACTTAATCACTTTAATAAACAAGAGAAACATGTGTAATTGTATAATTAAACAAGTAATTAAATACATTTGTTCTCATCATGACAATTCACTTCTCTTCCTCCATGAAGGCTTAATTTTGAATACTCTAGCCTGAAAGTTTCATTTCAGACAGTTTTTAGATTTAAGTCCATTCTTTACACTGCAATGTGCCAATGTTGTTTGTTAAGCGATGTGCCAATGTTGTTGGTTTTATGATAGGTGTCACTAGACAGTCTTGCATGGTTTAAAGAGAATATCAAAGACGCATTGAATAATTTTATCACAAATGTATTTTTCTTTATAATTATAGAAAGTTCGGAGTGCAAAATAAAAATTTTGGAATGTCAATAACAATTTTTTTCATAAAAAGAGACTTCATCCCAGTGAAAGATCCAAGAAGACAAAGCCAAAGAAGACGTCCTCGCAACCTACCTTGCCCAATGCCTAAAACCCAATTCTCTTTTTGGCATAGTAGCTATGCTCGAAGAGAATATCAAAGACGCATTGGATAATTTTATGTGTAGCGATTGGGATGAGATGTTGGTTCATATGTGTGAAAAACTTATTCAGTATGTGTGTGTATGTGTGAAGGGTAGTTTTGTAAATTGAAAGCATGGATATTTGTGAATTTAGCACATCTCTTGTAACCAAAAAAATATTTTTAGAGACTTTATTCGTTCAACGAAGATTTGTTACATGGTTGATAGGCACTTGCCGCATGATATTTGATTAACAAAATAATTTATAACTAGGAGCATTCTCATTCTCCACTATGCTTGAAAATGTTTAAAAAACAAATTAACCATATTTTAGTGTAAATTAGTAATGAAAATCTCGATATATATAATAGATAGGAATATAAGAGCAAGTTCACCCCTAAGAACTTTGTGCCAGCACCCAACCCATTTATCAACTTCAGTGAACAGTGATAGACTCTAAGACCATCTCCAAACCTGGGCTAAAAGCCAAATTACCTCCCAAATTATCCCCCCAAACACTCTCCAACCCATGTTAAAATTTTAGGCTAAATGCCAAATGTTATTTTTGGGCCAAATACCCCCCAGCTTTCCCCCCGGGCTAAATACCAAATGTTTATCGGAATTTAAATTTTTTTATATTAAAATGTTCATAAAATTAATTTACAATAATCTACATATTTATTTAAAAAAAAAATTGATTTAAGAAAAAAATTAGCCTAAGTTCATTCTTTAATAATTCTGGGCTAAAATTTTAGGGCAGAAGGGTTGGAGTAAAAAAGATGTTTCTGGGCTAAAAGCCAAATTTTTCGGGCTAAAAAATTTGGCTTTTAGCCCAAGGGTTGGAGATGGTCTAATGAATAGTAATAGACCAATGCATCCCCACCCCTAAAACTAAATAGCCTAGTCAATTTTATTAAAATATTATTAATTTTTATTATAAAATAATAATTGGTTTTTTACTTTCTGACTTCTTCCTTCTGGAAATGGACCTCCTCCTCACCACACCAACGCTCCCCCAAAAATGGACCTCCTCCTCCTGGAAAAGAAACTTCTGGGTCTCTCCGTGGCAAGAAATTCAAGCTCCCGCCTGGTCTCATACCCGTACCCGTTTTTGGAAACTGGCTCCAGGTCGGCGACGACCTCAACCACCGTAATCCCACCGACCTCGCCAGGAAATTCGGCGACTGCTTCCTCCTCCGCATAGGGCAACACAACCTCGTGGTCGTCTCCTCGCTGGAGCTCGTAAGGGGAAAGGGGACATGGTGTTGAATACATGGATTTATTAGGGGAAGGGGGTTGATGGGGTTCCAGGCGTCAGATCGGGTTCCGGATGAGAAAGACAGTAGCCATGACGTCAACATGGCGTCAAATGAGCCGTCTCCTTTCTCTGTCGATTTTAGGCTGGCCTGTGGACTGGCTTGGGTTGGGTGCCAGTCTATTCCACGGGTTGAAGTGAATTGGCTGAGTCCCAGCTTGTTTTTTCCACTGGGTGCCAGGCTATTCCACCTCCGGTGGAACTGCTCTAAAGAGAAGGCTGCTAGTATGTTAAAGAATGGAGGAAGATAATGATGAGCGTCGAGTGCGTTTCATCATTTCCATTACTAGCTAGCTAGCTACCTAAAGCTAGTTATTTGATAGAAAGAGATCTATCAAAGTCTCAAAGACATTTTTTAAAAGGAAATACTAGTGAGATTAAATTTTTTAAATTAAATTTACAAATTAAATGATATGGTTATTGATAATTGGATTATTATGTAAACGTTGATTAATTTGTTTATTTCTTATTATTGACACATCATTTGATTTACAAATTTGAGTTAATTTTTTTATTTATCTATCATAGGAAGATTTGTTTTGTTATAAACCAAACCCTAAAAAAGTTAACTTTCGTGGTGTGTGTTGGGTACGTATGTGCAAACGCCCGCATGCTAGAGAGAGAATCTTTCCTTGATATCCAAACAAATGCGTGGCAGAATTGCTTTGCAATAGAGTTGCTGCAGCAATTAGAAGATTTCTTACCGGCTGTGACTTGAACAAATAATAACTAGGTTAGCTAGGTTACTGAAGTGTCTCGGAGGTACTTCAATATTACCAGGAAAACAAGCCCCAGTACTCCAAAATCAATGTATTCACTTTCTAGGCTAGAAATTGATGTATGTGTGCATGAATAATAGGTGTCACTGGACAGTCTTGCATAGTTTAAAGAGAGATTTTTTATGTCATCGGTTATACACAATCACGTTTATAGTTCTCAATACAATCATGTGCATGTCTCTTTAATCACGTCGTTATTGAATAGTTTAGTCGACTCCAATGAAATATTTTTGAATATCATCGATTGTATACAATTACGCGCCAATCTCTCTCAATACTTGATCACTTTAATAAACAAGAGAAACATGTGTAATTGTATAATTAAACAAGTAATTAAATACATTTGTTCTCATCATGACAATTCACTTCTCTTCCTCCATGAAGGCTTAATTTTGAATACTCTAGCCTGAAAGTTTCATTTCATACAATTTTTAGAATTTAAGTCCATTCTTTACACTGCAATGTGCCAATGTTGTTTGTTAAGCGATGTGACCAATACTTTCCTAACCAATCATTCCCAAAGTACATAAAAATCTTGGTTTTATGGTCTCAACTCAGCATGAGGATGTGACCAAATATAGATGTGATGCTGAAATATCCCCACTCTTTTGATTGATCAGACATCAGAACGACAAATCTGTCACGAACACTTTGGTGACAATTTCAACACATATAATGCCTCCTTTTGGAAGATTCTTGTTTGTAATTTTGTTTTTTTCCGGAGATCCAGAAAGATCATCAGAATTTTGACATACTTTCTGCAATCTGCATATCCAAATTTAGAGTGGTGGAGGGGACTGCCTTGTGTTTTGTTCCTATAGCTAAGTCCCTAGTTTGGGAAGAATCCACCGACACTGTAGTTTGAACGTGAGCATAACGCATTATCACCTTAATCCAAGGGTTATTCAGTTATTGACATCGTGAGTTCTGACGTTTGACTCACCTAGTTGATTTTACCTATAATTCAAACAGGAATTTAAATAACAAAACATAGAAGGAAACCATACTGGTTCCAAAATATTCATAAACTTGTATAATCAGAAAATCATAAAAATCACAAACCTAATACAAATGAACAGGAAATAAAATCCTAATATATATTGTAACTTCTATAAAATTATAACCAGAATAAGAAACCAAATCCAAAGTCTTGCCAAACATCACGATAAAAAAAATAAACGATTTTATCACAACAAAACAAAAAAAAAATATTCACTTTCAAAGTAAAAAAATACAATTCAAATCACCTACAAAATTTTCATAAATTGTTTTCTTTTTCAGTTACAACAGTTTAGGGTAACAAATTTTGAGGTGAAATTGGGGAGAGAATTGGATAGATTTTTAAATTTAGGTAGAGCCAATTGTCAGTTGGCACTATTGGCTCTGATCCAACCATGTAAACCTGTCAACGAGTCAGTATCCAATTGGTCCAATTGGACATGCAAAACGACCTAACAAAACCCCCACTATAAATCTCCACTCAGGTCTCACTTCCTTTCACACATTGTATTCCCCCTTCTCCACAGAAACTCAAAACAAAAAAGAAAGAAGAAAAAATGGCTAAATATATTATCACCTTCTTCACCATAGTTCTGCTTCTCAGTTTTCAACTCACAGCCTTCGCTGCTCGTCCAGTCCCTGCTGCTTTCACCAACAACGCTCTCAAAACCCAACACCAAGTAAGTTGTTTTAATTGTTTTAATTTCCGGCGTCCTCTAATAACCATTTCATTTTGTTTTTGTTTCACCTTTTCGAAAAGATTGTGGTTTTCTAAAAACTAAAAAACGAAATGGTAATCAAACGCATTCTAAATTTACTAAATCTAGTATTCTTTCATTAAGTTTTGTATCTTAAAATTGTTTTGTTTTGTTTATGTTGTAATTTGTTGAATAAAAATATGTGAACAGGACATAGACGCGGAGATCGTTGCAGCGGAGGGAGGCGGGAGCTGCGAAGGAGTAGCGGAGGAGGAGTGCCTGATGAGGAGGACATTGGCGGCTCATGTGGATTACATATATACACAGAAGCACAAGCCTTGAACTCGTGCAACCAATTAAAATTATCTCTCTTTGTTTTGTCTTTTTAAAAAGCCATGCAATACTAAAGCATCCATATGTTATACTAAATAATATCATAAAAGCTTATTTGGTAAACTCAATCTTTGTTTTCGAAAGACAATGGATTTAATTAGGATAATTTAGTTTGTCTTTATAATATTTCTTGTCTAGGGTTTGACTTTATGTCCCCTTTGTACTTTTAAATTTTTCTAATTAAATTTGGATGACACATCTGCTGGGCATATGAGAGTTAAGATTTTTACAGATCGCTATGAAAGCATAACTCATTATATATGATAGTTTGATAACTTGTTCTATGTGTAATTTGGCTCACTTAATACTCTACCGCCCACTCTATTGTCAATAATAGTAACAAAAATAAACAAATTATGTGTTTGGCAACAAGAAATTTGTTGCCATTTTGCTAATAAAAGTAAAAACCCACGACAAGTCATGAGCTTCTGGTATGAACAGTGGACTTTGGTGCAGGATTTCTTAGTTATCCATGGTTTGCGTTGATGTAATATGTTATCAGAGTTGTTTTTGGCATTCTAAAAAAAACGTTCCGTAACATTTTCTAATAAAATACTTTATAGAAAAAAAAATATAAGTGCAGCACTAGTGTGCAAATATCCGTTCTCTATTTAATTTAACAAAATAAAATATTTGCTGTCCTCATCTGTAAAGGATGCCGATGGAAAACTAAGGCAGCTTTGTGGAGATAAGTCAATATGATACTACTATAGGTAGCCGTTCACACTTCCGTTTTCTCATTTTGTGATCCTTTCATTGATTCTTTTTTATTTATTCAATCCAACAAAAAAAATGAAAAAAAGAGTAGTGTATAAATCATTTTCTTGTAGAACACTGCTCGCAATTATGCACCATATATTTGGTCAACTATCGTCAATGAAAGCAACTGCTAACACCCGTATTCATAACCCATGATTAAATTGTGGTGATTAAAAGTTGGAAACACAATATGAGCAGAGTGTCAAACACGTCGGCTGTGTTGAATAAAGAATTGATGTGTCATTATCCTGTAGAAGTCCAAAGCTAAAACGAGCTTTTGCTGCGACTGCTTTTGGGAATTTCAGATTACGAAATGCAATTTTAACAACCCACCAGTTGACATCAGAATTCCATCTTTGTACGTGTGCATGCATCTTGTCTGACCTCACAAAGAGGTCCGTAATCGATCCGTAATCTTCTCGTCGGCATTTAGATCTCGAGAGATTTTTGAGTGTCACCAGTTGTATATATGTATATATGTATGTCTTTCTCTCTCTTATGACAGGACTAATTTGACAAATGAATGGAATAGCAAGCATCATTAGCACCAAACGTTTAGAATGGTGGGAGTGGCACTTTGATCCACTTACCAAATGAAATATGAATTTTCAATTGGATGGCACAGTCCAATTGCGCTAAAAATACATTTATATGCCATTAAGGGCAAAGAATCATTACTGGTTTCAAACAACTCCACCCTTCCTCTTTCGGCAACAGATTGATGACTGCCTCATTTATCCATTTCCCATAACTCACTTTCGCCGGAGACACTAAATCAAGTCCCCGTCCTAAGAGGGCGTCATCGTGCATCCATTTTTTTCCCGGAAACGCTAATTTAGGTACAGCTATAGTACCAACTGAGTTCTTAAGTAAAAACATGTTGGAAATAATCGCTAGAGCCTGCATGGTGATACCCAGGGCCACCAACTCTCTCAATTTCCAGATTTAAACAGATGAACAGCTAGCACAATGTAATGAATGTCCACTGCAGTACAATTCTACGGGTAGTAACTAACAAAACGCGAGTGATAGTTACTACAGAAACATTCATTGCACACATAGGATAAATCAAATTCCCGCGGCCCCTGGATATCTTAAATTGCATCTCCAAACTTCTTATTACAACGTTGAATTGCAACTGCTAGCTAACCAGAATACAAAAGAACGAATTATCTCAGCTGACAAAAGAAGGCATCAGAAATGGTAACCTCCTTCGAACGTTGCCTCCGCTCTCGGAAAACAGTTCACAACTAACCAACATGAACCAAAGCAGTCAGAGAGAACCAGAATCTGCTGGTACAGGTTTTTATCACCATACCTTAATGAGACCAGAATCAGAATCGTGCAGCAAACTCTTCCAAATGCGGCAACGAGATCCGGGTGCCACTAATCGCTACTTTTCTTCCATATTGAAATTATTCTGGTTTAAGTTTTTTCTACCTAAACAAATCAAGAACTAGGTAGATATCATGAATGTTTAAACAGTACAATCATTATTGGTCTATTTCGATTTAACTTCAACAACCTAAAGCATGATTCCTCTAGATCGAAAGTAGGGATGTTCTAAACCACAAGATCCCACCAAAATTCAGATATGTATAGTTGCATTCACTCAAGGATTATAAATTTAATAATTAAAGAACAAAAAAGGAATAAAAGTTCCTGAATTTAAAGCATGCGTCACAATGAATCATGAACCCCCTTTTCCCCATTTGAATTAAGTAACAAAGTTATACACACATAGCCTTCCTCAAAAGGGAGCCGTATCCGACTGATAGGAGCTCCTTACAAGGGAGGGATAACCCCATCAAATTAAGCAGCCAAGAGAACTCTTGAACCACCCAGGACGTATAAATGCAAAGCAAGACATACAGTAACTATAACCGAAGACTTCCCACTGAAGTATCTGATGACTTGCAATCCCCTGTCTGCAACCTCCCCATGAAGTGCACTAAGGCTTCTTTTCAAGCCATCTAATAGCGTCCACAACATAAACTCAACGAGAGATCGCACCGTCTCAAACGTCACCCTCCCTGTCACATCCAGAACAAACTTCCTATTGCTCGGCACAGCCAATGTAGATGAAACCTTCCTAACCCACCCACTACTATGAATAACATCCGACGAACTCCCCACCTTCCCCTGCTTTGGAGATACCTCTCGCTGAAAGCACTCATCCGCAGTTCCACTTGGACCTTCACTCTGATCAACAATTGGACATGCATGCGAATTCGAGCTTGAACTCGAACAGGAACTCGTCAAAACTTGGTGAGATGTCCTCACAACTGTTTCCACAGCACCATTACAAACAGAAACTAGAACATCCCTCACTTCGTTCTGATGCTTGGGATTGGTCAACCCATCAAACATATCTTCATAAACGTTGATATCTTTCGTTTTGTCAAGGTAAACCGCAACAGCAGTGCTTACAAAATCCTGAATGCAATTTGCTATGAGATCCTTACTTCTGTCACTGCAAATCACATTAACCCATCTAGGCACATCCGATGAACTTGATTTCGACACACTTGAATTCTCACCCAATTGCTCATCGGAGTAAAATCCCAGAACCAAATTCTTAGCAAAGCTTCCAACCATAACCGAAACAAACCCGGTTCCAGCTGTAGAGAAAACCTGCTCCAAAACCCTATCTGAAAAGCTCGAATTCCCCATACTCTTCTCCGATTCACTCTCTTTGTTCATCTCCAATCTACACCCTCGAATCATCCCAACCGTCATAGCCTCTGTAACCCTACTCAGTGACACGGAGAACTCTTGCGACCTAGCAATCTTCGAAATCTGCTTCAAACTTTGGGGCATTTCATCCGAATCGGATCGCAAAAACTCCTTCAAGTCCTTGGAAACAACCCCGATCGTCTCGGCCGAATCGGAGACCGTCTCGGCCATAGAGATTAGGGCTCCAACGAGCTTCAGGCATCTCTTCCGCTTCCTGGCCACAGAGGGCAAATTGTAAACCCTATAAGCTCCATAGCCGGAGACCCCAAGAGCTGCGAGCATCAGAAGCCATCGCCTTCTTCTCCGAGAGAAATTCAACCCCTTCGCGACGAGCCCAAGTTCCATTGGAGCTCGAATAACAAAGGGAAGCTGTAAAGCTTCGGCCTTTAAAATGCTATTGGGAAATGAACTGACAATTTAACGAATTGGTTACTGAAAATCGATTGCTTTGGGTCGATGAATTTCTAGGGTTCTGGAGTTGCAAATCCCAATGAATTGGAAGGACCAGATATTAATTGGGGGAATTAAATGAGGAGGGCGATGAGAATACGAACCTTTGCGACTTTGAAATTGTCAATTGGTGGGAGGAGAGAGAGAGAGAGGAGACGGCGGGCGTTGCAGTGTCGGAGGGAGGGAAAGCGGGACGCCCCAGCCAGAAATATTTTATTGTATTAAATAAATGACGCATGCACTGATTGGATATAATACCCGCGTTATTTAAAATATCCCGTTTACCATATTTTTGGAACACATTCTTTTTCTTTTTAATGCGAGATATTTTTTATGAGATTGTTAAAGTGAAGGAAATTTTCATGTGAAATTTTGATATATTCTGATGATCTAAATTTTTCATAATTTTGCGTATAACTTCTATTAAAATTGTTCTTGAATTCTAAATGATTATTCAAATTTGATCAACCCGAATTCCTTCAAACTCTCATGAGCGACAAAAAAAAAATATTACTAAATATGAGTACTAAAACAAATACTAAATTGTAAAGCTAACAACAGAACTATAAAAAAAATAATTGACTCGAACGGCTTATACAAAATAGAATGACATAACGGAGATGTAACAGTCTTGGCATTAGCAAATATCATTTGAACCGTCTGATCATGATTCACGGGCTGACATTGCCTTCTAAACCATTTTCATGAGCAAAGCATCTCAATGCAGCAGCAACAACAAAGACCAGTCAAACTGCAACCATAAAAATAATGAACAAAATGTCACTCTCATAATTCTTAAAAGTTATGAATCCTTAGTTAACGAAGTTGTTCTATCCCACATTTCGTCACATGATTTGTTTGGTACATCTTGTCCTAATTTACATTTTTGAACATTAAAAAACATTGTATAATGTGATATGGAAATGGAGATACAGAGCTAATTACCATGCTTCCAAACAACCAACATTGGATTTTGATTGTGGTGGCGGCGGTGGAGGCTGATACAGTACTTGAGGCGGCAGAGGAGGCTGAGGAGGCTGAGGATACCCCTGTGCCAGATACCCCGGTGGAGGATAATCACCATAACCTATATACAACCCATATGATTCATCATCTCAATTTAAAAGAAAAAAATACACCCACGGCACAAACATAACAAATTAAATCATAAAACTCTTTTCATATATATAAATTCAACCAAGTATGGTTAAATCGAACTCACTACAAATATATACCTTGAGGAGGAGGAGGGGGAGCAACAACTTGGGCTGGCTGAGCCTTGGAATTATTATGGTAACTCATGTTTTTTTTTTCACTTGATCGTTTTTAACTCTTTTTTTTTCCTGAAAGCAGAGACTAACACCCAGAGGGCAGATAGATATAATTTATATGGAAGATGAAGTTTATATGTATATATAAATTCGTATGAACTTATATGGGAAGGAGATTTTGATTTTAGCTCATTAAGATTTCATGCCTTCATACATGCACTATAATAACGAATACGTGCCATTTACTTTAATTGTTTAAAAAAAAAATTGGGATTGTTTTCTTGAAATGACTTCAATTAAAATGCATGGTCATTATTATAGAATCGGATTCTCTTCAGCTAATTTTCTTTTTTTTTTTCATTATGCTTTTCAACTATAATTTATTTTTAATATCGGATTTTCTTCTCTTAATTTTTCAACTTAAAATGCTTTTAATTTTTTCATTCTAATTCGAAATTGGACATCGTTTGCGCCTATGCGCTCGTGAGATTGAGATATATCCGTCTATTCTAAAATCACATCAAAAAACCAACATAAAATTTAATATGATCAAAATGCCATTAAAATCGTTTTCCTCAAACTATAAAATACAAAAATAATAAATTTTGAAAGAGAGATTATATTCACACACCCCAAATTACTTCTCCTACAACTTTTTTTTTTTTAATATTTTCTACACACCACTAACACTTGATAAAAAATATTAAAAAATTAAAAGGGTGTGTGATAAATAATTTGGAGTGTGTGAATATAATTGCCAAGAAAGTCAAAATTTTAATAACAGCACATCATGTTGATGCACAAAACCGGAGGGGTCTTGGAACAACGTAAATCCGACCGTGAATCTGCAAGTAAATAACACAAGATGTATCGTGGTTCACCCCAATGTTTGGGCTACGTCCACACTGATATTGTATTTCTCTGTTTGTGAGAGGATTGTGAGGGAGAGAGCTCTAAATATCAGAGTGAGAGGGCTTGCTCTGAATATGAGAGGCTTTGAGAGGGTGAGGGGGCTTTCTTCCTATGGCCTAAGAATTGGCCTCTAACTCCCCTAATGAGGAGAATCAGGGGTTTTTTTATAGAATAAAGGATCCTCACTTATTATATATTTGCCCCTTCATTTATTACATAAGTACATTTGAGTCCCTCGAGTATTTATACGAGATCTAAATACGGAGGCCATAAGTATGGTACAAACAGTTTTGGCGCCATCTGTGGGAATCGACACGAAAAGCTATGTTGGTTCTCTCTTAATTTTTCACCTCTACCATAAATCTGCACAACCCGAGATCCTACTTGATCTTCAACCAGGGATTTCAGAGAGACCAGACGGCTGCAGATGCAAAGGAAACACCACCACCCCACCATCAGTAAAGCAAAGCCAACAAGGAACTAAATGACAAAAAGAGGTTGACAACGAGCGGTGCAAACTTTGCAAGAGCATTTACTGTTCAATTTGGATCATGCAAGTTCCCAGAGAACTTCACTGGTTACCAAGATCTCGCCAAGCAGAAGGCAAAAAGGGTAAAGAAAATCTGGATTCCTTCTGCAAATCGCAGTGGCGGTCGAAGGTGCAAGCTTTAAAAAAATGGAAGCAGCGACGGAGGAGCCCATCAGGGTTCAAGGCCTAGCCCAAGCCGGTTTAACCCAAGTTCCGCCCCAATACATTCAACCTCCCCAGTACCGACCCAACCGACGTGTCCCTGCGGAGTCGACCCACCCCCTCTCCTTCTTCGGACACGACACCTTCCTTCCTTCATCCAAATTCCTCTATCTCTCTCTCTCTCCTACAGAAAATATTATGTAAGCAGCAATTTCTGTGAAGGAGTAGCAAACAGAAGCTATGAAGGTCATCTTGCTCTCTCATTTTTTCTCCGGGGTCTTAGTTTTTCGGTGTTATTCGTATGCTCTACATATGTAAATCATACACACTCAGAAACTCCAGCAAACCCTGATGAACAAGTCCCCCAATTGTAGATATTGTTAGGGTTGTTTTCTTGGTTTGCAGGTTGCTATCATGTCTTATCTAACGGCAAGAACAGGGCGGCAGAGGCAGCGCTACAACAGTCATTTGAGGCTTGTTTCGGGGGACCCAGAAAGTTGGATTCATGTCATCATTAGAAAAATGAGGAGAATTTCGTATGAGAATGATCTCGGTAACTTTAGCTATGACAGTGAGAAGGGTCTGAATGAGGCGCAAAGTCACCACCGCAAATCAACTGCTGTTAAGTTTTGAAGGTTTTGGTCGATCTTTAAGATTCATATCTCGAAATATCCACCCGATTCGGGCCCAAAATGCGGGCGGTGTACAATGCCCGATTGACCATGTTTGAGGACTCCGAGAAAGAGAACGAGTATGGCTACATCCGCAAGGTCTCTGGACCAGTCGTTGTTGCGGATGGCATGGCTGGAGCTGCTATGTACTAGTTGGTTCATGTTGGATATGATAATTTGATCGGTGAAATTATTCGGTTAGAAGGAGTTTTTGCCACAATTCAAGTTTATGAGGAAACAGTTGTGTTGATGGTGAATGATCCGATTCTACGTACTCGCAAGGTCGACGACCTTGTTGGCCTCCTTGATCACTTTGGTGGACAACAGGCATCTGTGGTGGGACATGACCACGGAGCGCTAGGAAAAGAAAAGGGAGACCACCAGTAAAGCTACAGGAAAAAAAACAAAAGCATAAAAGAGAAAGTAAAAGCAAAAGAAAGCAGAAAAGGAAAAGCCGAAAAGAAGATGCTCCACTATTCCACTATTCCACTATTCCACGGGATAACATGATTAAAGATAAGAAGATGCCCACCAAGGTTCCTTGTCTCCACTTTCTGTTGGACCAGAAGATGCCCATCAACATGTTGAAAACATTTAATTTATTTTTCTTATATTTCTGAGACATCTGTATAACCCATCAGAGGGTAATAATAATAAAAAAAAAAGGCAAGCAAAAGAGCCAGGCCTTATGGCTCCAAAATTATTTGGCAGCCTGCCGCTATTATCACCAACCAGGTGATCAAAAGTACGTCCAGTACTCTAAAATTATTCTGCAGCCTGCCACTATTATCACCAACCAAGTGATCAAAAGTACGCCCAGTACTCCGAAATTATTCGGCACCATGCCGCTATTATCACTAACCAGGTGATGAAAAGTACGCTCCGTACTCCAAAATTATTCAGCAGCCTGCCACTATTATCACCCACTAGGTGATCAAAAGTACGTCCAGTACTCCAAAATTATACATGAGCATCACTCATGTCAATCATACATAAACATTCATGAGCATCACTCATGTCAATCATACATAAACATTCATGACCATCATTCATATCAACATTCATGAGCATCACTCATGTCAGTATTCATGAGCATCACTTATGTCAATATCCATGAGCATCACTCATGTCAATCAACATAAATATTCATGAGCATCACTCATGTCAATCATACATAAACATTCATGACCAGCATTCACGTCAACATTCATGAGCATCACTCATGTCAACATTCATGAACATCACTCATGTCAACATTCATGAGCATCACTCATGTCAATATCCATGAGCATTACTCATGTTAATCAACATAAACATTCATGAGCATCACTCATGTCAATCAGCTTCGAAAGCTTCATTTACAGAGCTTCATCTTCAAAAGCTTCATTTACAAAAACTCCAGCTTCAAATCTTCACTTGCAAAGCTTCACCTACAAAGCTTCAGTGCAGGGTATACAAATACCGGCTCCGAACAACCACCATTTCGGCCTATACATAGATTGAATTTGAAGTCTCCAGCCAACAACCTTTATTGACTGAAGACTTGGGGGATTACAATGTGTACCATATATTGGGCTTCCACAACTGGGCATCACGAAAAATACTTGGGGGACTTAGCCCATTATTTATGTACTGAGGAGCGAGCCCTTATTTTATAAAAGGGACTCCCTCACTTTCATTAGAAAGCACCTATTATTCATGTACTGAGGAGCGAGCCCTTATTTTATAAAAGGGACTCCCTCACCTTCATTAGATAGCATCGCCGCCTTACCGCGAGCATCACTCCTAACCCATCACTTATGTATTGAGGAGCGAACCTTTATTCTATAAAAGGGACTCATTCACCATCATTAGAGAGCATCGCCGCCTATTGAGCAACCAGCTCACCGCGAGCATCAACTCTAGCCCATCATTTATGTATTGAGGAGCGAGCCCTTATTCTATAAAAGTGACTCTCTTACCATCATTAGAGAGCATCGCCGCCTATTGAGCAACCACCTCGCTGCGAGCATCAACTCTAGCCCATCATTTATGTATTAAGGAGCGAGCCATTATTTAATAAAAGGAACTCCCTCACCTTCAACGCCACAAGTCGAGCCAACCAAAGCAACATAAGCCATAAATCGAGCAGCCTCGCAACATGTGCTACTTCTAGTTGAGCATCATTTCAGATTGAGCACTACCTCATATCGAGCATCAGTTCAAGACGACATCTAGTTACTTCGGCCCACACATGGACTGAATTTCAAGTCTCCAGCCAAAAGACTCTCTTTTCTAAAGACTTGGGGGACTAGTGTTTGTACCATACTTAGGGCCTCCGTATTTAGATCTCGTATAAATACTCGGGGGACTCAAATGTAATTATGTAATAAATGAAGGGGCAAATATGTAATAAGTAAGGAGCCATTATTCTATAAAAGGACCCCTCATTCTCCTCATTATGGGAGTTAGAGGCCAATTCTTAGGTCATGGGAAGAAAGCCCCTTCACCCTCTCAAAGCCTCTCATATTCAGAGCAAGCCCTCTCACTCTAATATTCAGAGCTCTTTCTCCCTCACAATCCTTTCACAAACAGAGAAATACAATATCAGTGTGGACGTAGCCCAAACATTGGGGTGAACCACGATACATCTTGTGTTATTTACTTTATTGCAGATTCACGGTAGGATTTACGTTGTTCCAAGACCCTTCCGGTTTTGTGCATCAACACATCCTATAAAGGTAAAAGAAAATTATAGATTCATTGAAGGGTAATGTTAGGAAGATAAAATTTGCAAACTAAATGATGTGTCACCAATAGGAATAAGCACGTTTATCAACATAATAAGTCAATATATCAACTTCTATGTAATACAGTCATATAGGAAATATCTCCTATATCTTATTAGATGGATGCTACTTCTAGTTTACACAATCACACTTATAATTAAATACTGTTTACAAGTTTTTTTTTTAATTTTTTTTTTACTTTCTATTATAAAAAATTATATATACTACTGTAAGCTATGTTAAGGGGATGTGAATGGTTTGAACAGGAGACGCAACAAATTAACATGCACAATAAGGTATAGGTTATGGTGTCATAAGTGTTTCTTCATAGGTCCGCCCATGAATTTGATTAAGGGAACTTTAACGAAAAGCACCCGGTACTGTTCACTTTAACGAAAAACCACATTTTTACACTAAAAAGTCAATCCTGGTACTATTCACTTTACCCTTTATTTTGTCCTTATCATTAAAACTCAAAGTTTTCAAGCCATTTTCATTAGTTTTCCTTTTGATCAATCATCTTCTTGCTTTGTGAGAGGAAAACCCTAACTACCAAGGTGATTCCCCACTTTCCATTTCAATTAATTATCTTTCACCCTCTGACATGTGACTAGAGATGCCACACAACATGTATATACATGAGATTTATTTTTCTCTACCCCCTTCGTTTTAAATGAAATTATCATAACTTATTGCTTAATCGCTTCAATCTAACACGTTTGAGACTATTGCTAAAAGAGCTAAAAATATGGTTTGGTAACTAAAAATACATTTGATAACGTTTGAAAAAAAACTTAGAAGTACTTAAAAATTTATGAACGTGTTCTTAGAGCATAAAGAAAACTAAAGGTTATGAATTTATTAACAATCGAGCCATAAATAAAAAATAAACATGTTAATCAAATAACCCAATCGTTAACTTGCATGTCCTTTAGTTTATAAAATTGAGTCTTAGCATTAATTCATTTGAAAAATAAGAAAAATAGACCATTAAAAATAAAAGAAAACCAAAGGTTACGAAATTTAGTTGGTAAGTTTTGTTCTTAATTGAGGAAATTAATTGGAACATTGGTTTAATAAAGCGTTCTCTGTCCAAACTAAAAGTCAATGAGACACCACGTGGCAACTTGTTAGGAGCTGCCAACTGACGATGCTAGAAGGTGTCAGTGACGTCAAATAGTAATTGTGATTTTAAATTCAAAATTATTATTAGAATTGCGCGCTCTTTCGACTTCCCTCCTCTTGACTTATCTAAAGCTTCTCTTACACGACTCAACGGCTACTCTCTCTCTCTCTCTCCCTCCCTCCCTCCCTCCCTACCTCCGGTTAAAGCTTCAAGCTTCTAATTATCGGTTTTCCTCTGCTGAAAGCTCCTAAAGCTTCACCATCTTCACCTGATATTGTTGTGAGTCTGCGTTTTTTCATATATTCTTTCTTGAAAAAAGATGGATTTTATTTATTAATTTTATGCTTTTGAAGTAGCGAAATCGGTCGAGGTGATGGGGGTTGGGATATGCTTTTTTTTTCTGAGCCATTTCTTCCCTGTGTTCTAAACTTTTAATTCGTTGTTCGGTTTTGATTTCGGCTTCACAGGCGCATTTCGTGGTTTTTCGGTGTAGGTTTGCATTTTGCAAAGTCTCAAGGCCAAGCATATATTATGATGATGGCTTCCAGAACTCCTGGAACGCCAAGAGCTAAGAAGGAGAAGATTGTTGTTTTAGTGTGTTTAAGGCCTCTAAGCAAAAGGGAGGAACTTGCAAAAGAACAAGTTTCGTGGGATTGCCTAGGCGATAACACCATTGTTTATAAACCCCCGCCTCACGAACGTTCCGCTCAATCCACCTCGTTTACATTTGGTGTGTAAAAACATCTAATTGTTTTCCCTTATCTTTGATGATTCTTATTGTACGTTTGTTATGATTGATTGTGTAGATTATTGATCACTGATTTTCTGTTTTGTAGATAAAGTTTTCGGTCCTGGTTCAACCGAAGCAGTATATGAGGAAGGAGTGAGAAATGTTGCCTTGTCTTCTCTGATGGGAATTAACGGTAGTGATTATTGCTCAAATCATGTCATGTTTTTCCATCTAAATCTCTACTCGCATTGAATGATTGTTTACGTTCTCTTGTTCGCAGCAACTATATTTGCTTATGGACAAAGTGGCAGTGGCAAGACATACACAATGAGACGAATAATGGAAAAAGCTGTGGATGATATCTACAACCATATGATAAAGGTAAGCTCGAAAACCCTTTCGTTGATAGTTCTTTATTTTATTTTTTTTTGTTTATTGGTTCATGCCTTCGCCCATGAGCGGTAGGTCTCGGGTTCGAGACTTGGGAGCAGCCTCTTCATAAATGGGGGTAAGGCTAGCCGACATTCACCTCTCCCAGACCCTGCGTAAAGCAGGAGCCTTGTGCACTGGGTACGACCTTTTATTGGTTCATGCCTTGGTAAATGTCTTGGTCTGTTCTGCACCAAGAATTGCGGTTTTCTGCTGTTGTTTCTGCAGTTTGATTTACTAAGCTGGTGTTGCTATTGTTTGTTTGCGCAGACTCCAGAGAGAGAGTTTGCAATAAAAATTTCAGGACTTGAGATATACAATGAGAATGTCCGCGACTTGCTGAATACAGAATCTGTTGGTAATTTAAAGCTTTTAGATGATCCAGAGGTATTGCCCTTCTAAACTTACTATAATCTTCAGTGAAATAATTAATCCTCCTTTTACTTATTTAAGTTCGAATGTTTTCTTGAATGTAGAAAGGAATCGTGGTTGAGAAATTGGTGGAGGAAGCTGCAAGCAGTCATCAGCACCTGAGAAGTTTAATCGGAATTTGCGAGGGTAATTCAGTGGAGCCCTTTACTTGGTTAGCTTCGTATTCTCTCAAATTTTTTTCATTAGCAATTAGTTAATCAGCTTGTTTTTGTGTCAGCTCAAAGAGAAGTTGGTGAAACTGCTCTAAACGAAAACAGTTCACGGTCTCATCAAATAATAAGGCTGGTCAGTTCCTTAGTCTCTCTTCATCACAACATCTTTGATGTTTTCTAATGAAGTACTTTTCTTCTTCCGACAACTAACACTTTGTCACTAATATTGTCTTTCTGTACAGACAATTGAAAGTACAGTCCGTGAAAGTTTAGACTGCAGGACGTCTTTCGTTGCAAGCCTGGTAAATCTAAAATAAGAAACAGAAGTTGCAACTGAGTTGGATTCTTGGTTAACAGCTAAAAACTGCAATCTGAATGATCTGCAGAATTTTGTAGACCTAGCTGGAAGCGAAAGAGCTCCAGATACGCATGCAGACGGTGTTAGGCTAAGGGAAGGCTGCCATATTAACCTTAGTTTGATGACACTTACTAACGTTATCAGAAAGCTCAGGTCAGAATCTATATAGCAGGACAGAAGGACCATTTCAAAGTTTCAAGTATGAGATTACGTGATAGATATATCTGATATATAGTCAATTTGGTTGCTCACTCTTCGACTTGATTATCAGTGCTGGAAAATTAAGTGGTCCTATACCTTATCGAGACTCAAAGCTCACTCGCATATTGCAACATTCTCTTGGAGGAAACGCTCGCACTGCCATCATATGTACCTTGAGTCCAGCACTGAGCCACGCTGAACAATCTCGAAACACTCTCTTCTTTGCTACACAGGCAAAGGAGGTAACAAATGATGCCAGCGTGAACACGGTATCACTTATCTGCTTATCACCTTTCTTTCAGTTTGCCTGTCTAGAATACAGAAGCTTTTAATCCATTTGTTTCAAAAAAATTATTTTGCTAGGTTGTATCAGACAAGCAGCTAGTCAAACACTTGCAAAAGCAAGTAGCTAAGCTGGAAGCAGAGCTGTACACCCTTTATCCATTGAGGGAAAGAATTCAGCAGGTAAACATTCATATAACATCTGGCCGCTTGATATTTTATTTGATGTGTGTATATGATTTTTTTTTTTTAATTTTTCATAAAATATGATCCTCACTAGATGGAAATGGAAATGGAGGATTTGAGAAGCGAAAGAGATTTGGCTCGATCTCAGGCGGATGAGTTACGCCATAAACTTGAGGTTCAGGTGAATCCCCAACTGTTCGTTCTCCCTCTCGCTGTTCCCCAAGCCCTTGGTCTACCGTTCTCCTCTCCCCTGTATAAGCGTTAGTTTTAGATTTGTCATTAATTCTTGTTGTATGCCAACTTCAGAGTTTATATCCATTGGAATTACCTCATCGCTCTGTGGACAACTATCTCTCCTACACTGGTGTGCTACCAACATCATTTTATGCCAAGGAACTAGGAGATTGTGATACAGCAACAAATGCAAGGACCAAGCACTCCATTAGGCACTCGGCAACTCCTCCTTTCATGCCAAGACGTGAAGTTCTAAAACATGAAATCTCATCAGAGCAACTTTCGGAGGAACCAAGTCGAGCTCTAAAACTAGACGTGCTTTACAAAAGCAAATTGGTGATTGGAGGATTTAGCTTTCAAAATTTAGCTTTCAGGTGCTTAGAGGATTTATTTCGTCCTCAAATAAACTCTCTCTTACTTTCCACACAGGCAAAGGGTGAATCTAACATGGTACTACTTTTTTGCTCATCACGTTTTTCAGTTCGCATTTTTACATACTCAGAATACAAACCTATTAATATATTTATTTCAAATACTTTGCTAGGTTGTTTCGGACAAGAATCTAGTTAAACGTTTGCAAATGGAAGTGCTCAGGCGGGAAACAGAGGTACCCACCGTGTCAAGGGAAGAAGATTTAAGAATTCAGAAGGTAAACCTTCCATACAAAGTGTTGCTTGATATTTTATATCGTGTCTGTAAATGTATATTATAGGAATATTTTGTATTATGTTTTCCTAAATTTTTACTGTGTTCCAAATTCAGGTTTTAAACCAACTGGAATTACCGCATCCTTATGTAAAGAAACTTATCTTCTGCATCGGTGTGCTACCTGCAACATTTTATGCTGAGGAGCTAGGAGGCGGTGATAGGGCAAGAAATACAATGATCAGGCACTCCATGAGGCTCTCATCATTTGCTCCTTTTACGCTAAACCATGAAATTCTAAGACTTGAAGTCCTGCTGGTGCAACTTGGGGAGGGACCAAGTCGAGCATTGGAAATACTAATACAGAAGGAGGTACTAGAAAACCATGATAGGGCAAGAAATACAATGATCAGGCACCCCATGAGGCTCTCATCATTTGCTCCTTTCATGCTAAACCGTGAAATTCTTAAACTTGAAGTCTTGCTGGCTCAACTTGGGGAGGGACCAAGTCGGGCTTTGGAAATAGTATTACAAAAGGAGGTAGCCTGGCAGGGACTAGAAAACCAAGATGCAGGTGAAACTTTTTGTAACCTGCAAGCAGAGATAAAAGAAACGCATTATACCAGTTCTCGGCCAAAAGAATTTGAAGTAGGAAGTCTTGTTCCTGTTAATAAAAAAGAAATTCCTAGACTTCACTCACAGGGCAGCGCCATTGCAAATCTTGAAGAACAGTTTCCAAAGGTGCAGTATTTTACAGACAAATTAGTGTCTCTCCCTTGCATTCAATTGTTGGTTTTGAGGTTCTTGGAGGATTTATTTCGTCCTCGTGAGGTTACTGGTGATGTTTTGGAACAAATTAAGAACGAGGTAATATAACTAGTCAAGCGTTTTATTTACTTCATTTTATTTAAATGATTCTTGAAACATTTAACTGTAATCATAATGTTCAAATGTTGTCAAGAAGATGAAACGGGACCCCTCTTGGTGTTTTGCAGCCTGTAAAACATAACATAGTTCCGTTGCTCGGATGTTGGCAAGAAGATGAAGCCGAAGTTGATGGTGGCTTTCATCTTGAACCAGGAACATCAAATGCTGCTTCTCCAGATGTATCTGCTGTAGAATATGACCATATCAGTGAACATGTTTTTCATGTTAAAGTAGAACATCCTGCAGATAGATATGAGAAGAAGGCTATTTCTGATGAAGCCAAAGAGCTCATGGATTGTCATAGGGAGACAAGTGACAGCGGTGCATTCCGTAATGGGAAGATTGATGTCTCCGAAAATCGTGATTTCTTGGGCTTCCTATGTAGCAATGGTGGTCAGCTGCTGATTTGTAATACAAGTAATTGCCCTTTCGTATTTCATCAGAACTTCTTGGATTCTGACTTAATATGCTATAAGAAGGGTAAATATTACTGCCCCATCTGTTCATATTCTCTTGCTTATGAGAATAGGCTGGGTGAGATAGAAGAAAAGTTGAGAAGAAAGGCAGTGGCTTTTGATGAAGTCTTCTCCGGCTGTACTGATGGTTGTACCGTTAATGAACAAATGAATGCGCGAAATGAAAATGGTTATGGTTGTGACTGTCAATTTGACGATGCTCAAGTTCATAACCAATTTGTCGGAGTGGAAGACAATGAGATCAAAGAAGGGACGGAGTTTGAGGTTGAAGATGAGAACAATGGTGGCAACAGTGTCAGTTGTAGAGGTGAAGGCACCAATGAAATAATTAGAGGAGGTTCTGGACACCCATGCGTATCTGAACTGCTTGAGTTGCAACAGGATGAGGAAACTGCTGTCGAAGAAAATTCAGGCGAAAATGAAGAAGATGAAGGTGGGAAAAGGGTGTTTGTGGAGAAAGAAGACGAAATTGAGAATGCAGAACTTATGCAACCAGAATCAATGGAATTGCCCTCAAATACCATTGTTCTATCTGACACGGAGTCTCCTTTAGTGCATAAAAGAAGGGAAGACAATGAGATCAAGGAAGGGATGAAGTTTGAGGTTGAAGATGAGAACAATGATGGTGACAGTGTCAGTTGTAGAGGTGAAGGCACCAATGAAGTAATTAGAGGAGATTCGGAACACCCGTGCCTATCTGAACTGCTTGAGTTGCAACAGGATGAGGAAACTGCTGTCGAAGAAAATTCAGACAAAAATGAAGAAGATGAAGGTGGGAAAAAGGTGTTTGCGGAGAAAGAAGACGAAATTGAGAATGCAGAACTTATGCAACCAGAATCAATGGAAGTGCCCTTAAATACCATTGTTCTATCTGACACAGAGTCTCCTGTAGTGCATAAAAGAAGGGAAGACAATGAGATCAAAGAAGGGATGAAGTTTGAGGTTGAAGATGAGAACAATGATAGTGACAATGTCAGTTGTAGAGGTGAAGGCACCAATGAAGTAATTAGAGGAGATTCAGAACACCCGTGCGTATCTGAACTGCTTGAGTTGCAACAGGATGAGGAAACTGCTGTTGAAGAAAATTCAGACAAAAATGAAGAAGATGAAGGTGGGAAAAGGGTGTTTGCGGAGACAGAAAACGAAATTAAGAATGCAGAACTTATGCAACCAGAATCTCTGGAAATGCCCTCAAATACCATTGTTCTATCTGACACAGAGTCTCCTGTAGTGCATAAAAACCATGAAAAAGCGCCAAAGAGTTTTACCATCGTTCTGTCTGATTCCTCGGAATCTGATGCTTCAGATACTTGGTCTCCTTCCATGGAACCGGAAGTTTCAGATACTCGGCCTCCTCTACTGGGCGAGATACAGCCTAAACATAAAGGTCAAAAGACAAGAGAATTCGGAAATCAACCAACGAGGTGATTGGGGGGTTAAGCTATCGATTTGGAGTTTATTTTATGAACTTTTACATGCAGTTATCGATTGTTAATCAACTGTTTCTCCTAACATGCAGCTCAAACTTGCCACTGCCTAGGACGAGGCGGCGTATGAGATTATACTGGACAAGAGAAGAAGAAGAAAAGTTGAAGGTATTTAATTATCTAAACTGAAGTAGTATCGTGGATGTGTGATTTCATCCAGATTATATAAACCATCTTGTTGCTTCGCTTAATTTCGAAACTCAAATTGTCGTTTCTAAGATGTCCTTCATTTTCTTAAACTTACAAATGCTGAACTCTCCATTTCCAATCAAATTTCGAAAAGTTCTTGGAAATTTTCTATTTTGTAGTTGCGTCGGAATCTAACATAAGTAATCTTATGCTCCAGGAGCTTGTGAACAGTTTTCCAACCACTGGAAAGTACCGATGCTGGAAGAAAATTTTGGAAAATGGTCGCGATGTATTTCACAAGGATCGAACTCCGAATGATCTGAGAAATAAATGGGGAAAGATGCGGGTGAAAGGTGCGGTTGATCACTTTCTAACTCTCCGAGAAAACATTTGTTCCATTCGAAAAATGAATTGAGGAAGGACTTGCTTCGATCTCTATGATTATTTAATCGCATTTACACACATATTTCTCTAAAACGATGCACTTCGATGCAGGCAATGCTGAATTCTGACTTCTGAAAGCGGCGAACTGCATAGAATGTACTGAAACCTCGCTTCGTGACCATCGGCATTCTTTGAGATTTTAGATCAAAGAATTTGACTTGATATGTAAATTGACTTTGTAGCAATATGTAAAAATGTTTTTGCATCCTAAGAAACCTGTACATATCTCACCATTTGCAAAAAGTAGAGCAGCAGGCCCTCACTGATTCATACACCAGAAGACTAGCCAGACATAAAACTAAAACTTGGATTACAAGAAACCGATGTGAATTACAACGATATGAGTTAGAAACCAAGACTGCATACGAACAAACTAATTACCATAAGGAGAAAAGATTGAAATTTGCTCCAGATATATTGATAAGCCCGGTCTTAATCTTCCGTAGCCTTCGCTACAAGAAACCCTTGGCTGCCTTGTAACGAGAAGCATAGTACAAGTTCATGAGATGGTAAAAAATATAACAGGGAAGACAAAATTCTTTGTATATTTTCTTTCCAAGACATTTCATTGATGAAATGACCACTTCTAACCTCTATCTCTCTCTCACAACTGTAATTACAATCCTATCACAACCAAACAAACATATACTTTTCTGTAAAGATTTGGACCACAAGAAATCAACATATCATGTACAATTTGGTATTGGAACAAATAGCATCATCACCAGAGGCTTGAGTCCCAGAGGGACTATTCAGCAGGACAATCAGCAAGCATTTACAAGAGTCCCAGCGCAGGTCCATACGACAGTGTTCTTCACAAGCGGTAGTGTCCTTGCCACTACCAGTTTATCCATTGACTTGAAGCTCCATCTTTTATTCAACGAGCAGAGCATGTGCCAATGGTTAACCTCTCTTTCCTTGTGGTTTCTTATTCCTTTGAGACAATCTTGAGTTTTGTGGATGCAAGGAAATCATCGTCCTCTAGATCACTGAAAGATATGTCGTCTTCATTGATTGCATGAATAGCTGTTCCACTATGCCCATCCATCTAATTCAGAATCTTCCTCTGGCCAGTCATCATCGTCATCATTTTCATAGATATTATCTAGCATCTTCGAGGATGGACCAACTGTTAGATTCTTGTCCTCGCTCTTAATGATGGGCTTTTCTTCAATAACAGACTTATCAATAAATGGGATTTCATCACTCTCAACTGGGTGCTTCTCAGTCTCATAAGCCATGGGGGACATTGTTGATTCATAAGGATATGTCCTTAGCACCTTGTCCTCGTAATAAACACTACAGGATGAGACTGGAGCACAATCTTCGTGTAGTATATTGGAATGGTCTTTTAAAAAAGAAGGGTTTCTTTCAAATTGATCATCTTCTAATGCAGTCTGACAATGTAGCTCCCGCATCCACATTGCCCTGGCTTCCATTACCTGCCACCAGTATGATATACTACATTAAATTTCAGAAACCTAACAGGTTTAGCATGAACTTTGGTTCAATCTCAAAGTATAAATAAAGTTTTAATCTAATAAATAGAGCCATTTTTCTGGAACCATCTAGAATTCCTAAATCCTAACTTTATTCCAAACCTTAGGGAAGATCACCTGCAACCTAAATAGACTATTGAAGTTGAACATCTAGAACTACGAAAATCCATGCCGGGACAACCCCATGGAGGAGTTCAAGCAGCTACTAGCATCCAATAACAACGAGGACTTGTGATATCAATCAAGCTGATCGTGAATGGCATGAAGCAGCATTTCCAACTTTACAATGCCACAAAGTGTAGTTACTATGTTCAATTAATCCTTATAGTGTCAACTGATTCCACTTTAATATAACTTTAAATCTCAGGGTTTAAGTTGGAAGCAGAATCGAATTTAATCAATTGACTGCAGACACTAATGGTAATTATACAAAGAGGGAAGCTTACTTGGGGTGTGGACAAGATCTCGGCATCCTGCTTATTGAGCCTCGAATGCAGAAGAACAAAATAGACTTTCCAGAAGTAACTCTCACTCATATGGCACGGACAGAGTTCAAATCTCAAAGCAGCTAATCTTGGTGCAAGATGTTCAATCACCGTAGCATGCTCTTGCTGGGCATCAGACATGTCAAAATCTAAAATAAGAAAGGTGTATCAATTAGACACCAATCCCAAAACTGCATCCCCCCCCCCCCCCCCCCACGCAAATGTAATTTAACTCATCTTCCAACAATTTGTATCAACTGCATTGTGCATAAAATTAAAATCCATCACCACAACGAGACAAGCTACGAACCATAAGCAACTCTACTGCCACAACCTTATGCATTGTACTACCGAAATCAAATGAATCTTCAATAACAAACACATTGAAAGTCGAAGATTAACCCAACAATTTGAAGGATAATAATGCAATGTACATTTGAACTGCACGAAATTTTCCACATTTCAAAAATTCGCCAATGAGAACTGATTCCTACATTGAAAAATACATACAGTATAAAATTTCGTATACGTATTCCATACATACCGCCCAAATCCTCCTCTTCGTCGAGAGGAAAGTCCAGCCACGTCTCCGGATGCATCGCGATGTTCCTCGCGAACGCCAGCACCTCCTCAGTGACCCCTACGGCGCAATCCTCCTCCAATTCCTCCTCCTCCTCTTCTCCTTCACCAAAATCCATCGCCAATTGATCGGGCGGTTCGGATCGACCGATGTCGGGAGGATCCGTTCGATTACTGGATGGCAATGAAGGGTACGGCGGAGGCGGTGGGGGCGGAAGCGGAGCGAGGAATGACGCGACCCCCCAAAATTGGCGGGTCAGCGTCTGCTTGAATTCGTCCAAATCTTCCCTCACGCCTCGGGTCTGGTCGTCGTCTTCGTTCTCCTCATCTGAAGATTCAATTTCGCTTCTTCGAACGACGTCGTTGTCGGCGGTGGTTCGGATTGCTGATTCGTTGGGTACGACGTCGTTCTCGGCGTCGCCGTCCTCGTCGAGCCGTAGAGAGTCAGCGAGGGAGCGAGCGAGCCATGACATTTTTTTTTTTTTGGAGTGGAAGAAAAAAGTGACGGATTTGAAAAAAAAAAAAAATTGGAAACGGGACGTTCGATAAAGGTTCGGGAAAGTGCGGGGAAGAGTTCCGGTGTGTTTTGAACTGCCGTCGTCTATGTTCGTGGAGCGTATGGGATAGCGACACGTGTGCATGTTCCAGGGTGAAAACAACCGAATTATTTTGTCCGGCACGAGAAGATTTAGATAGATCGGGATATGATTTATTCAATCATATGGAGCTTGAAAAGTGCCTAAGAACGACACGTCGTACGAAATAATCTTGGTACTGTTTACTTTTAACGTTAAGGATATTTTTACTTTAAAAAATCACTCTTGATATTATTTACTCACAACAACTTCTTATTCTTTTAATTAACACTCAAAATTTTCAAAATTTTTTAATTAATTTTTCTTATTATGAATTTTCATGGGCCGTTAGAAGGGTGAATGAAACTTTACTTTCCAAGCTTGAAGCCCATGAATTATATGGATTTTGGGCTTAACGTAATAAAAGAGTTACAACTTAAAAAATCCAAATATGACTTAAGTTTACTATCTCTCACGAGGGATTCTGCTGTTACATGTTCACATAATGCGCTATCTTGAGAAATTACTTCTTTTTTTTGTCAAACGATAGATTTTGTTAAATTCGATGTTGGATTAGTAACCAATGAGGTTCGAACCAGGCTATCATGCAAAAACTCAACACATTTCCACCACTGTGGTAAAGGGTCCCTTGCAACAAAACTACTTCTATATTACAACTGAATTTTATGATTATAAAAGAATATAATTGAATTTGCATCTACATACCTAATGTTTATAATGCTATATAAAAAAATAAATAACAGATAATTGATGGGTCCAGAGAGAAGGGTGCTTGACAAAATAACAAAAAAGATGAAGGTATTGATGAGTTGCTTTGAGTAACATTTTTTTTTTAATTTGAAAAAATAAAATAAAATGAGAAAAATATGTTTTGTTTATCAAAAATAACAAAATTTTGTGAAGTTCCACTAGTACAGCATGAGAAGCCAAGTCATGAAAATTACAAGTTTCGTTCCAACCAAGTAAAAGTTACATAAGAATTCCATACTATTTCAACAACTTGCATGACCTTCTTCTCAATGTTGACGGGTTGAGTTGTAGAGTGGAGTTGGTGGTTTTACGTTGGGTTTAAAGGTGATGGCCTGATTGGGGTGATGATGACTGTTAGTTGGTGGAGGCTATACTTCAATGACTAGTTGATTTAGCATATTTTTAATAAGAGTAAATTGTACAAATTGTCCCTTAACTTTAATCAAATTGGAGCAATGGTCCCTCAACTAAAAATCCATTACCTTTGGTCCCTCAACTTATCAAAACGTGCAGCTATGGTCCCTCAACTAAAAATTCATTACCATTAGTCCCCTGAAATTCAAGTGGAGAAACTTTAACTTTAACCTGTAGCAATGGTCCTTTCAATATAACTCGTTTTGACAAATTTTTTGACTTGACGAAAAGAACCATAATTAACACTTTGATGAGTTAAGGGCCTAATTATATAAATGGTCATTCCAACATAGCTTATTTTGACAAAATTTTGACAATTGATGAAAAGGACTATAGCTATTTTGAAGTTGAGGGACCAATGGTAATGGATTTTTAGTTGAGGGACCATTGCTCTAATTTGATTAAAGTTGAGGGACCATTTGTACAATTTACTCTTTTAATAAAGGTTTAACGGATGTGACATTTTCAATAGATTAGATACTTATTTGAAACGTTTAAAAATATTGAGACCAATCCAGAAATAACACTAAAAAGTTATGATTTTAAATACTTAAATTTGTTTTTATTTTCCGTTATTTCGAGTGTTTTTTTTATTTTTTTAGCTACATTATTGTTAATGCATATCCATTCAAAGATGCTAGATGTTGCAACTGTCGCAAAAGGAGTTTTGGGTTGTCATCGTCTCTCCTTTTCAAGTAGACAAGGTTTCAACCCTCTTTTCCCCACTCCACTCCACTCCAAAATTTGGAGAAATTTATTTTCATTACCAAAGGGCCCAAAAGGAAGAAGTGTCCATGTGCACCCGTTCGTGACAGCAAAAGTGAAATGTGAGGGCCCTTCAAACCCCCCACTTCGACATCTAAGTTTCAACAAAGTTAATTCTGAGCGGGCGAACAAACTAAAGTTCTAAAGCAAGTAATACACGATTTGAGATCCGTTTGAGATTGCTTCTGAAAAGACCTAAAACGTTATTTTACAACTAAAGGGGATTCTGATTGCATTTGACAGAAAAAATTAGAAGTGTTTTTGGGTGCTAAACGCTTCTTCAAGAAACACTTTCAAGTGTGTTTTTTAGGATGTGTTTGAGTTTTCAGTAAAAATTTGAACATGTTTATAATGAATTCATTTTTAACATAAACTCTTATGAGCAAATGTGATTCGTACACAATGAATCACAAACGAATCCTTAAACAACACTTTGTAAAACTTATAATGAACTTATGGTGTGATAAATATTTAGAGCGTTAAGAACAATTTCTTTTATTGTATAGATTTCCAAATTTAGTCATTCAGACTCCATTTTATTGTAAAAAAATAAAAAATAATAAAATAAACCTTAAAGTTCCGTTTTTTATAGTTTGATTTTTGAAGTGTTAAAATTTTCTAGGAATCTACACTATAAATATTTTACAGCAACACAAAAACTTTAGCTATAAAAAAAAAATTGAAACTTTGGAAATCCAAATAAAGAATAACCCTCCTTCGATGTTAAAAGAAGAGCAAACCAATCATAAATAAACTCGTATCTGAATAATTGAAATAGATAATATAATTAGACACTTGTTCATTTATAATTGGATTTCAACGACAATTACTGCTCTTCTTTTAATAGTAAAGCATTGTTCATCCTAAAATGGAATGTTAGCTGTTGGGACCGTGCACTGCAAATTTCATCTTTAAGACGATGATCACTGATAGGACTTTGGGATTAATATTTGGCTAATTTTTCTCTGATATTTCTTAATTTATATTGTCCACTGAATTTCATTGGATTTTATTTTTAATACTATGATGGTCCAATTACTTTGGTGATCGATGATGGAATATGAATGATGAGTAATTAAAAGCTCAGTCAATTTTTTTACCCCTTTGTCGTTTTAACTTTTTCCATTCACGTATGAAACAAGAAACCTCCTGTGTTTCTTTTCTGCTGTACCAGCTTTTCCCAGAGAGTAAGATATTGTCCTCTTTTTCTCTTCCTTGCCATTCAATTCCCATACAATAAAAAAATATCAAACAAAACAAGCAAAACCCAAATTCCCCCCTCTTTCCACCCGAGTTTGAATCCTCTTCCGACCTCATAGTCCAAAACCTAAGGATGATGGAATTCAGACCGTCCTGTGAGAGAAAAAGAGATATGAAGTGTTGATTTGTGTGAGGTGGGCCAGCGAAATGAATTAATGGAGATTATGATCAATTTGGGCGGTCTCTGTTCCTTGGGCTCCAAATAATGAGGTCGGAGAAGATCTCTATCCCTCCCACCCATCTCTCACCTATCAGATCTCAAGTTATCCAATGCGAAAAGAAGATTCGTAGCTCTCTCTCTTGTGGTAAAAACTTCGATACGTCAACCTGATCATTCAAATGGTTAAACACTCTCACAGGAAAACGTTTTTCTTTGCGTTTGGGTATCATCCGCCCTCGTGTAGGTAGGTACTACTTTGAATGTTCTCTATGTATTTGGGTATCATCCGGCATTGTATAGGTACTTTTTCCCAATGCACGTGGTCTCAACCAAGACCTGACCAAGTTCAAGTTGCTCTACTAAAATTTTTCTACTCTGGTTGTATATCTCTTAGTGTCGAACTCTCTTGTAACGAGATTACGAGTCATTTAAGGAGAAGATTATTAGATATTCCCGATTATATATTTTCTTGTGTTTATCTCTATCATTACGGGATTTAGAATTGAACTACCCATCAACTTAGAACAGTACAGTGTCAAACATAAAATAGGTGGAATATAAGTGAATGGAAATTCAAAACACATGATGGGAAAAGTATGAGAATCGATTAGGCAGTGCAGGGAAGCAACATCAACTACAGTTAACAGTTCAGAGCTCATGACAGAAGCTTTCACCTTCACTCAACTTCTTTACAGACGCATGATAAAAAAAAACTGCCCTATTCTGGAAATTGAAAAAAAAAAAAGAACAAACAATTTGCCTGTGAGAGACAAAAATATTAACTCCATTTGGATTCAAACTTGCTGAGGCTTATTGGCAAACTCAGCTCAAAATTGCCAGCTTATATAGACAGCGGAATTACAAATTCGAAAACTGCAACAGAGTGCCCGTCCGCTTCGAGCTTGTCGGCTTTGTGGTACAACTGAGGATCAGCAAATCTTGGGTCCGTCTGGCACCCGGATGGATCAGCGTATCATATTTACCAGAAAATGGAAATACATTGCCCAAATCGACCCACATTATGATGTTTCTTCTGGTGGCGGAAACAATCGATCCAAATCAAAGATGTTATAGCATACACAAGAAAGATGGGCACCTCAGAAACACCATATGACCTTTTGTCTTGAATTTTCTTGGATCCCAAACAAGCTCTGCGGCTCCTTTTATCCATTGGGACAGAGAAAAATTGAGAGAATGTATATCAACAAAGTGCCATTTTTTTCTTCATTGTATTGTTCTAGTAAGCTTACATTTCGAAATGATAGTGTAGCGGTGTAATTTAGACTACACAACTTCAAGAGCTCAGCAGCTCTTTGCTTCAATACAGGATTGCAACCACTTTGAATTACAAGCAGCAGCTTGGCTGCCAAACCCGCCTCTACTGCAAGCGAAGCGCATTCGTCTGGCGCGAGCTTGCAGACCGCCCACAAGATCGATAATGCGAGCTGAGTGCAGCTTTCTGAAACCTTCATCAGTAGTCTAACTACACTGGGGATTGTCTTGGGACAATCTTTCAAAGCCTGCCTTCCCTCGGGAAGTGTTGACAAAACTTCTAGAACATGAAGGGCTATCTCCAAACA